CCAGTCAAAAAGACCAATGCCACCCTGGCCCTTCACACCAAGAAGCACACCACCGCTCAGACCATCGGCAGAGAAGCCAACATTGAGAACACTCCTCTCCTTGAAGTTGCGGAAGATCTTGACGCTGGTTGATGATTCCCGGATCGCGTAGTCCTTATCGTGCTCTTTCGATGCCCAACAGAAGTCCAAAGCCGAGCCGAAAGCCTGGTTACGGAGCGCTAGCGCTGTGTAGATGATGTATTCGCCATCACCGCATACAGCGACGAATCGTCCGTTTGGAGAGTGGAGGAGAGATTGCGGGTAGATCTCGGTCGAGCCAAGGTCCTTGGAGGGGAGTGTGAGCCGTTCAGCATCCTTTAGCTGATCGCTTCCCTTGATGACCGAGGTGAGGATCTCGTTATGTCTTGCCCAGAGCACCTTGCCACCAGCGTCCATGCTGACTGCCGGCTCTTCGCGACCCATGGTAATGACAACTGCGCCATCATCGAAACCAAGCGCAATGCCATTCTTGCCCTTCTGGTTGGCGACACACCACGCACGCTCCAAGCCGTAGTTGAGCGACTGCTCTAACCGGTATGTTGACGAGTGCCAGATCTTGATTGTGCCATCCTCGGACCCTGAAATTATGACGGGCAGCTCGGGGTGGTATACGGCGAAGCTGACGTTTGATGTGTGGCCCTCGAGAGTTGCGATCAGGGCCTTGGTGGTGTAGTCCCAGACCTTGACGGTTCGGTCGTCGGAAGTTGTGAGGAGGTACGGCTTGTCGGATTGTGGGTAGTAGTCAATGAAGTTGACTCCCTTCGTCTCATGCGCCTCGAGAGTGTAGTTGGGCGTCGAGCTGCCCAGCGACCAGATCTTGACAGTCCTGTCGAGACAGGCTGAGGCGAATGTGTTGGGGTCCTTGGGGTTTATGGCGATGCCCATAACGTAGTGCTGGTGGCCAGCGAATTCCTGTACACCTAGCGATTGTCAGCGTGCCTGCTATTACCACCACAGTAGAATGAACCCGTACATTTCCACGACTTGTCCCAATCCCACAGCTTGATTGTCATGTCATCCTGTCTTCATCAGCCAAGTTCCCTGTCCTACTTGCGATACTACCCACACTGGCGGTCAGGACGAAGGACTGTGTTGGGTGCACAGCGATGGCGCGAATGTAGTCTGGATGCGCCTCGAAGGATGTGACCTTTTCCGACGTGTTGTAGTTGTATACGCGCAATTGGAAGTCATCGGAGCCTAAATCGTGCCACGTTAACCATTGCTCGCCTCAAGCAGTAAGAGGGTGAATCCGACCTGCGACTATCCAGTTCTTCCTCGCAATAAAGCGACCGGCACGGACGGGCACATCGGTGAGTTCGAATGTCTTGACGATCGATTGGGTGATGTACGACCAGATGTGGACGTGTCCTGCCGCTGTCAGTGTCCTGCCAATGTCGTTGTCCGCGAGTCTGCGTACCGCTATACAAGGTCGTGAGGATCCATGGCTCAGTCGGGTGAAAGTCTTTCGGTGCATCAGTATCGGTTGGCAGCTACGCAGAAGTGATTCCTACCGATTCCTATAAATTGTTAGTGAAGCGCTTCAAGGATGCAGTTGGGCTACTTTACCTTTGACCCTCTCCGACCGCGCAAAGAGCTGCCTCTGTTGGTCAAGCTTGGTTAGCCAATGGCCGCGATACGGAATTAATGCACTGCTTGCTATGCCGTACCTTTACGTCTAGACGCATGTTGTAGGCTCGAGTGTGGGGGTGTTTCGAGGAACGTGGCTTTATGTAGCCAGTTCGAGATCGCGTAGGCAGTCGCCGAAGACTCTCAGTAGATACGAGCCTGGAAAACACAGGTATAAAACCCCGGAAGCGAGAATTGGTGACTGTGTAGTGTGCTGAACTTCTTGAGGCTCCGCTGTCTGTCGCGACAGGTGGGCTCAAGCTACGTTCGCCAAGATATTCCGCAGGGTTCACACAACTAGGTAAGGCGCCTAGCGCAACAATGATCGTCTTCAACAGAGTTGCCATTCTCGAAATACAACTCGGGAATCGCGACATAACTATTTAGAAAGGGGCATCAAAGTCATCACGTTCAATGCATGACAGTCAAGTTTTGTGAACTTTTTCAATTCCGCTCCTACAACACCTATATACTCGGAACATAGCCTCCCCACAACATCCCCCAGCTGCGTCTCCAGACAACGCCCACAGCTTGCAATAAATACCGAGTTAGATCCCCAAGCCTCCGTCATCTTCACATGCCCCATAGTAGATGACCCAATCCGATCCTGGTAGATCAACAAGAGAAAAAAGCGGTCTAGCTGTAACCACAGACATAGACTGGTATCTTAGAAGTGAAATAATACAAACAAATGTTAAAGAATAAATAGTAAGTTTATGTTTTAGATGTTAAGGAGAGTGTTGAAAAGGTAGTGCGAGTCGACAAGATGGGAGATATGGCTAGATGCAGTATGCTAGCATAGACGAGGTCGGTTGCAACGGGTAAATGGCGAAAAAATCCAGGTATGCTAGAAAGCAGGGACGTCGTGAATATACATAAGAAGTCCGGCGCCTCAATCGAGGTCGCGGGCCTTCCTGCGTCCAGAATATGGTACAGGGAGTCGTTGAGAGTGATCGCTTTCAGTGAGGCAATCAGTTCCAGCCAAGAGAGTTCTCAGCCATGACAGGTGCCGAAATCTGCTGAGTGCGAACGCTGGGCCCTTGGCTGCTTGCACTACCATGGCTGCCTCGACTACCAGGTGTTATTCGTCCGTTGCGGGCACCGTGCATCCAAGCCGCAGCGCCGCCGGGGATGGAGCCATAGGTCATACGGCTTCCAGTGCTGGGCACTGAGCTGGAGCGCTGGTGAGCGACGCGCTTGTTCCTGTAACGGCGGGCAACAAAGAACATGGCAGCACCGTAAGCGATGGCACCAACGATGGCACCGGTAGCGATACCGGCGGCGGAGGCGTTGATCGGGCGGCTTGCGTTGGCATCGCCACCAAGGGCGCCGCCGTCACCATCACCTCCATTGTCAGACGTGGATGGACCGCCACCACCGGCTTGGTTGGGGCTCGAGTTATCGCCAGGGAGTTTGCCAGCAGGCAGAGGACAGGCAGTGTTGATCAAGCTGGTGAGGTCGTTGACCGTGGAGTCCTTGTTGTGCCAGAACGCATCAGCAGGGTTGCGAAGCTGAGCTTGAAGCTTGCCCTGAAGATCGGAGGGGATAGTGAACAAAGCCAGTGTGGTAATGAAGCCTTGGTAGGCGGTGGTGTCGAGAGGCCTAAGACCAATGTTGCGGACCTCCGCCTCGGTGATGTTGAGACCGTCAGGCGATAGCCCTGGGCAGGTAGTGGAAGATTTGGCTTCCACCGTCGTTGGCGGATACAAATGGGTAGTTGAGCGGCCACTTGAAGCACACCTGTCCCATGAAGCTGTTGGCTGGGTATTCCGTGGGCACACCTTCGGGGGGAGCAATCATCTTCGGCAAAGACGAGGGGATTCCGCTGGAGGTTGGGGTGGGTGTGGCGTTGGAAGTCGACTCTCGAATGATGCTCGTGCCGACAAGCATGCTAGTAGCGCTATCGGTTCCAGTCGGCTTCTGAGATTGGACTGGGGCAGGCTTGCTGGTGACGACCTGGCTCTGGGTGGCAGAAGCAGAAGCGGTCTCATAGGCACTGGTCGGAAGCACAAACGTGGGAGTCTCAGAGAGGGTGGCATTGCTAGAGCTAGGTGGGACAATCGCCGCACTGCTAGATGCAGGGCCTTCGGAAGCGGGCACGCTGCTCGATTGAACGGGAGCGGACGTCACAGCCGGAGCAGACGAAACGCCGGATCCCGAGATGCCTGAGCCTGAAGGGAGGATACCAGACGAGCTTTGGCTGACAGCGGGTGGGGTCGAGCCAGAGGAGATAGCACTGGTTGTGGGGATGAGGGTCTCACTGGGGAATCGGCAGGGAAAGGCTAGCAGTCTCTGAGGAAGTCGATACAGTGCCAGATCCTGTGGGAAGAAGGCCCGAGGAAGCAGTGGGAAGCACACCGGACGGAATGAGGCTCGAGGAACCAGTGGGGAGCACGCCAGATGGAATGACCGCTCCGAAGAACCAGTGGGCAACACGCCGGGATGGGAAGGAGACTCGAGATACCAGTGGGCAACACGCCGGACGAAATGAGACCAGACGAGATGTCTGACGCAATGCTTGATGCAAGGCTGCTCGCAGGTGGGAGAGGAGCAGATGCAGTGCCAGTGGGGAGCTCGGAAACCAAGCTCGACACGATGCTAGGAAGGACAGATCCTGGAACGCCAGACAATAGGCTGGAGACATCGGAGACCAACGAGGAGACCAGAGGTGGCAGAACGCCTGATGGTGCTGCTGATGGTGCTGCAGTTGGCGAGGGTGAAATGGGCGCGGTTGGTCCAGCCGATCCTGAAGGCAGAACTCCAGAAACCTCGGAGACGAGCGAAGACAAAACGGATGGCAGGTTGAGAAGTCCGGAAGATGCAACAGCCTCAGACGTTGGGATTGCACCGGAGCTCAACACGGGGCTTGAAGCACTCAGTACTGGTGCGCCAGTTCCGAGGGCTGTCGTAATACCCACAACGATTCCACCAGAAGATGCTTGAACTGATGAAGGCAGCTGGCTAGATGGCGAAGCAGGAGCAGGGGTGGGTTGCAAGAGACCGCTGGTCGGGAGAAGGCCTGTTGAGCCGACTACCGGGTCAAGAACAGACGAGAGGAGACCACCAACCACGCCCTGAGAAGAAGTGGGCTGAACCACGGATGAGGGAATTGGTGCTCCAGTCGAGCCAATCACGGGGTCCAGAACAGACGAGAGCAGACCACCCACCAGTCCCTGGGAAGTCGTGGGCTGAATCACGGATGAGGGAACAGGTGTTCCCGTCGAGCCAATCACGGGGTCCAGAACAGACGAGAGCAGACCACCCACCAGTCCCTGAGAACTGGTTGGCTGAACCACAGACGAGGGGATGGCTCCTCCGGTGGATCCGGGAACGATGAATGGTCCTTGGAAGCTAGATCCAGCAGGTGCCGATGACTGAGGTGTAAATGCAGGCGCCGAGGTGGGAGGAACAACAACCTCAGGAGCAGAGCCGGTAGATGCAGCAGGCTGTCCAGAAGAAACCGGGGCGGCTGGAGTTGGCAGAGGAATCAAAGGAGTCACAGAGCCGCCTGTGGGTCCGATGATAGGTGCGAGCAGTGACGGAAGTAGTCCACCAGCAGCGGAGCTTGGTGAGGCCGTCGGCTGCGTAGAAGCCTCTGCGACAGTGCTGGAAGGCGCAACGCTGGAGCTTGCAACCAACGACGATGATGATGAAGCTGGGATAATGACGCCTGGAAGCAGACCAGTAGGGCCAAGAATAGGATTGAGCAAGTTGCCGGCGGCACTTGAAGACTGCACTGGCGCTGGCTGAGGCGACGACTCTGGAGTCTGGCTATCAGGCTTCTGAGGCGTGGACTGCGGCGCCGAAGACGGAAGTTGCTCTTCCGGGGTCGATACCACAGGCGCAGGAGATGGGCTCAAGTTACCAGTTCCGGGAAAGGGTTCGCTTCGGTCTGGTGCTGGGATTGGTACGGGTGTCATGATGATCTCGCGGGTTGAAGTAACGGTGGTCGGTCGGTCAGGTTCGCTTGTAGTATCAAATATGCTGTTCGAGGAGCTGGAAGAGCTGTCCATTTTCGATTCCGAGAAGAGCTGGCTCAACGCAGAGGTGAGGTCGAACTTGCGCGATTCAAGCGAGCTGGAGGAGCTCGAGTCGGAGGACGTGAGCTGGGGTGTTGGCGCTGCTGGTCCGGTTGTGTTGGTCACGATCTGGCGCTTGATGTGTCGCGGGAAGTAGTATCTGGGGCGGTTTTGGGTTTCCTGGGGCCCGGGTGCGGGCATTGCCTCCTGTGCGGTGGTGAGGAGAGGGCCAGAGCCAGAGAAGCTGGCCCAGGACCAGCGCAGCGGCCCATACTGTGGTGGAGCGCGGCATATTTTCTAAGATGTTGAAGCAACGAGGTGGATTAAGTATATAGCTGTTGGGGCGAGTCTACAGATCGCGAGCCTGTGCGTGTTAGACATTATGAGACACAGCAAGACGGTAGACGGCGAACATACAGTCAGGGCGTGTAAAAACGAATGTACTTGACGAATGTCAAAGATGGTAAAGAGTGGACCTGCCACGCGTGTTAGCTAGACGTAGCGATGCGACGAAAACCAGGGCAACTTACTAGACTGTCGAGGCAGCTAGAATGGGTTTTCTGCAGGAACGGGTGGTCGCAGAAGTCGTCGTCTCGTGTCAGGCTACGCCGTCATGTTCGACAGCGACCGTAATCCAAGAGTTCGCAGGAAGTGCTCGGCTGGGGGTTCCAGGAGTCACGATCACGACAAAGGACCGACGCGAAAATGTAATCCCCGAAGTAAGGACTGATCCTGGCGTGCGAGGCGTGCGTTCCGAACAAAGGTGCGCGTCGGGGTCGATGCGCAGCGTCTTTGTCTGTCCTCGGTGATGCGTGGTCGAGACCTGTCGTGGCTGGGTGAGGCGAAGCGGGTGCGAAAACAATGAGCGACGGTCACGGTCTAATTACGGCGTACTGATTAGAGAGAGATGGGTGCGAAGGACGGTCGTGATTCGGAGAATCGTACTAGGGAGCGTGGTGCAGGCGTGTAAAACTGAGGGCAATGCGATGAGCGAAAATCCACGGGGCTGCCACGGGCTGGTGTTGCGCACGATGGTGATGGTGCTGGATGCGCAAACCGGATCGAATGTTGTCGGCGGTGGAGGAGGAAAGACGGCAGGGCAGCAGAGCTCGACGGGCGGAACGTGGTGGAGAAATGAGAACAGCTCAGGCGCGGCTCCACAGCTGGCTGCGCCTGGACAAAACGACGGTTGGCAGGGGCGTGGGCGAACAAGGGAAAGCGCAAAGCTGACTTGTGCTCCCTGCAGCAATGGTGCCTTTGCCCACAGACGGGCTGGCTTGTTCGGGCTTAGAGACGGCAGCCGAGCGCGCTGTAGTGCATTCGATAGTTGCAAATATAGATTCCCGGTGCACGTCGAGCAACTGCCAGACGCTGCTGAGGGACCGATGGTGTTGTTCAGACACTGACAGCTGCGACGGCTGCGACCAGAGCCTCGCAGCCAGCACCTTGCAATCATCCGGCATTTGGTGGTCGGACTGTGCCCGCTCGCCATTGACAAAAGGGTTAATTTGGACGCACAAGGCCTGCAGGTTTCAAACCGCGCTAGGCTGGGGTCACATATCGACTCTGTCCACCACCACCACGACCCTCTCAGCGCAGTCGACGCTCCTGTCAGGAAGAAGTCCGCATCTGCAAGCCCCTGGGTCTTTGGCTGTGCCGCGCTCGAGCATTTGCGCTGATCTCGTGGTGCTATCGAGGCCGTAGGAGCAGTGTCCGCCATGTCCGCCTTGTTGGCCATGTTGTTCATTCACCCAGCCAGCCAATTACAGAAGGTGCGATACCCCTGCCTTTAATTTCGGCAACTTCATTGCGCGCCTCCTCCACCGAACCGCGGCGCACCTCCAACACCAACACCACGCGAGTGCCCATCCGCACCGCTGCCCCGTCAATATGGCCCTTCGTCTGCTGTTCATCCGCAATATCGCGAAACCCCTTCAGTGGCTGCATCGACAATGGATGCTGATGCTGCCGTGCGGCGGTACCACTACCTGTGACCTGGCTCACATCGAGGACAGGGTTCGGAATCGCGGGCTTGTATTGAGATGCAGCCACGCTCCCTTCAGTCTTCCTGTGCAAGCCTAGGGCCAACTTAGCCCTCGTGTCCCCCAGCAAGGTCCCAGTGGTTCGAATTGCGCGAACTACCGCTAGCCTCCTCGCGCTATTGCCTTCGCGTGGCCGCCTTGGGAGCTGGCTAATAGTCCGATGCACTTCATCACACCTCCTGTCAAGGTTTGCTCCATTTGCGACGGCCAGTTTCATTACACTTGCCCAAGGTTATCCTTTCGCTTGTGCTCAGGCACCAGAACATGGGACCGCGGATGCGACCAACCTCCTGTCTGTGCCCTACCAGCACCCGATCTGGTAGCTCCAGCTGCTTTTTGTGTATGGCGAGTCTCATCGTGTCTATTCCCGAGCGCCACAGTGTTTCATGGCTCAGTCTGTCTTTTGAGCCTCAACGACATGACGTCTAGCGTCCGATAAACCCCTTTCGACCATGGAGGGCCACCATGTGAGGATTCGAGATTCAATAGACCCTCTCAGTTACCTGGTACAGCTACTAGCAGTGCCGTTACTGAGTCGTCTTCAAGCTTCACGGCAAGCTCGGCCTGACACCGCGTTGATCCTCATCAGTTCGCTCCCCACAATCTCCATCTTCAGCAACTCATCTCGGGCGTCATACCAGAAGAGCGGGGATGAACATGCTAAGAAATTTGTTATCTTGTCGATCCAGCCTTCTGGCCAGCATAGCGACAGTTTCTTCACGGTAGATTGACATGACCTGTTGCGCATGGTCAAGGCTCCAGCATGAGACAGCCTAGTCCAGTTCAGCAAAACTTACAAGGCCTAGGACAAGCTTTCCCCCTTTCACAGGACAGCAAATTCCACAATTGTCGGTAATCGCTTGACGCATTCGTCGCCCTCCCGAAGGTTCACTCGTCGTTGATCCTTCGCTCAAGTTCCATGGTAAACAAACTGGGCCATGACTTTGCAATGCGTTTCGAAACTCAATCCTAGAGGCGCCTGCGCTGGTTCGCTACCGAAGAGCAAAACATCATGCGAATCTCGTCGCCTCTCATGCGCCGCTTCCAAATCCCCATCGCCCTAGCTTGTAGCATGAATGATATGCTCAGATCATTGTTTCTGATGCTGGCCCACCACGTGCCATGGAAGCCGGTTGAGGCACGGTATTTGACAGCCTTGTTTCCTGGCGCCTTCTCGAACGTAGCCCTCGGGCCGTCTGTTCGGGGCTGCGAAACATGTTCTGCGTCACGAAAGCGATGCTTTTGAAGGGTCTCTCCAAGCTGCATGGCCGGGGCGATGTCACTCTCCACATACCGCTTCCGCGGCCCATCATTCTGGAGAGCTTTGCGGGCATCTTGATCGATCTTGACATAATCGGGCCCTGATATTACTTTGTCTCTCGCTGCAGGCAGGACCGACGACATGCCTTGCCATGCAACGTCGTCACTATTACGTGTGCTTCTTCAGACTTGTTCCCACTGATTGAGTGGCTCTTGGTGCCACCGAAACATGCTCCAGATGGTATAACAGCGTGTAGTAAGCGCTATTGCGCAGCTTACTTTCGAACAAGAGAATCATTGGTCGCAGAGAGCGATATTTCGCCATGCTATGACAACTCACAGTGCCACCCACGTCAACGTCAGCTCACGCTTATGTTGTTGGGAACAAGGCAACCAGGCATCTGCAAACTCGCACCACGAATGTGCCTGTTATACGCATTTCTCCTTTCAGCGTACTACCTATCGGTAACCCTCTAGTTGTAGACATGTATGCTCGCTCTCAAATGGCGAAAAGCAAGTTGCAAATTCATGACGCCGCAAGACTGCTACGTCGGTCTGCAACGTAAAACCGAAGCAGTGAAATCTAGCTGCAAATCAATCTAGGCGTGAATATATCCGCAGACTTGCCAAGAAATAATACCAGCTGAATTATCTTTCTTTGCGCTCGCTTCACGTAGCGATTCCGTCCAAATAACAAATGCATCACCATCTGAGGTAGCGAGTAAAACGTCCAGATGTATTTCACGCATCTGTTCTCGATGAAAAATGTCTCTGAGAAGTTTCGATCTAGCCATCGGTGATGAGGACGAGGAGTCTGCTTCTTTAGGGTACCGGCTGTGGTCTTGAGCTGTGCGATTGATGCCGCGGATGATGGACACGTAGCTGTGTGCTAGCACGATAGATAGATGTGGGATTGTGGAGGTATTAGAAGGACGGTGTAAGGTACAACGGTTCAGGCAAGTACGGAAGTGCGGAGAACAGTCGAAATTGTACAGTTTGTATTGTATAACGAATCTTTGGTGTGGAGTGCATATCGATGCCATGACGTTCCTTAAAGTTTTGAGATTCATCTCTTTAATATGTTCGAGATTAGGAAGTATCTCGCAGGAAACATCAAGCGAGACTTGGTTTGCGGCGACGCTGTGGGATACTCGCTATTCTGACCGCACATGTGGGTACTACCGTACAGATCAAATCGAACTCCACTGTTCCTTCGTTTCTATGATGATTGAAGTCTTCTTGGAATAACTTGTTGCAGTCGGATCGGTAGTGACGCATCCTGTGAATTCTTTCGACAGTAACGGTTGACTTGAACAAATGTAATGTATGAAAGTTAAGCATTGATGCGAGAGTATTGCCTGTCAGCGGGATGGATTATCGTGGAGGTAATACCGATTCATTCATCTTTGCGTACCGAGTATCGATGTCGGTTCCGTAGTCGGAGATGGCGAATATTTTTTCATCTTGTTGAACCACGGCAATGACACTAATGCCAAATCGAATACTTGCCCAACACGCGCGTTGGCTTTATTGTACGGAAATTTAATATGATGGAGGTGTGTTTATCGCTTGCATTAAATATGGTTATATGACGTTGTTGTGGTGGTAAAGTGCATTTTATTTTGTTATATCACTCACTTCTGTGCGAGTAAATACTGAAAACTAACTCAGTATATATATCGAGAATGGTATTGAAGAATTTAAAAACTTATGCAGAATAGAAACACAATGGATGCAACATCTCAGCTCTATTTCCCATGAACTGCTGATTACATATGTATATATCAAATCTCAACAACCCATCCCTCATCCTCACTTCCCCCCTCCCTCATCGCAGCATTGACCCAAACAACCTCCCCCCTCTTCTCCCAACCCATCCAAAACCTCACCCACGCCAATCCCCACACCCCGAACATCTTGCCAAACACCCAAAATCCCCCCTCCCCCAGTGAACAGGCCCATCCCACCCCTCGTCAACACCTCCCCACTCGCCCATCTCAACCCCCCTCGCGTGATGTACATGCCCACAAACACTCACCCGCGGCCTAACCCTCCGAATATCTTGCAACAACGCCTTGCATCCTAAGTTGGCATCAACATGCCCACGCGCGGGGGAGTGCGTGATCAACACATCCGTCCCAAGCGGTATAGATTTCGCCCAGACAACATCAGCATCCCTTGGCTCATACTGAAACGCCCAATTCCCATACCTCAGCGTCTGCGGCGCGCCGTAGATATTTACGACTCTGCCCTTCACACTCACCCGCGTCGATTCGTTTTGCAAATACACCACCTTTCCCCAATTGATCTCCGCCTTCCCCTTCTCCGCGCGGGATAAACAAACATCATGATTCCCCGCTATAACAACCGTCCCCGCATATCCTAGACTATTCATCCAATCGACCTGCGCTTGCACTTCCTTCACACTCCCGTTGATCGTCATGTCTCCGGCGTGCAGCAGGATGTCGCCGGCGGGTAGGACGGGGCGCGCGTTGTGCGTGTCGGATATGCAGACGAGTTTGAGGGGCGGGGAGCCGGGGACGGGAGGGGTGAGGGGGGGTTGGTGCGTGTAGAGCCATTGGGCGAGGAAGTGGGTGGGTGAGAGGAGGAAGTGGCGCAGGGGAGAGGGAGGGGTGGGTGTGAAGAGGTTGTTTGGGGAGAAGAGGGACATTGTGTGTTGTTTGTCCAAGGAGAAAGAATTAGAAGGGGGATGAGATGAGATGTCGTGGGGTTTTTATGCGAAGTTCTGTGATTCAGTGGTACTGTGTTTAGTTGCGAACCACATTTTGCATCTCAGGCAACAACCAAAAGAAATGGACAGATGTTGCGTGCGGATCAGTTAGAATCTCCCTTTTGAGCAGATAAACGACATGGTCGTGTAATAATAGTATTTCATGGGGTATCTGCACCTCCTGAGATCCCTTCTATTGTACCCTTCATATCCCTATAGCTGAACAAACGCCGTAGAGGAGCTAAATCCGGGGAAACGCCGCCCATATACACACACATAGCTCCCAACCACCTATGCTGATGTTCCAAGTTCGATCATATACAAGATGTACAGCGGGGTCGTCCATATTCATGTCGTGATTATTGCGCCTGTTAATGAATTGCCGCGGGCTCAGGGTCCTGGTAAGCCGAGTCGCGGAACTTTTCGTCGCCACTCTCGGTGTTGCTGCTGCTGCTTGCCTCTTCCGACTCCTCTGACGTCGTGTGCACCCGGCTTCTGACGCGTGAGTTCATCTCTTCGCGCGTGTCGTCGAGGTTCTCCAAATCCTTCAGTCCGCGCCCGGTGCCGAAGAAGTCTGCTGTTTGCAACCCGCGCACGTCTCCCGCAGCGACTGTGCGGCTGCTCTTCAGCGTGCCGTCGGCCTTCTTGCGCCTGATATATTCACGAACAGGTCCCATAGCTGCATCTCTGCATGCTTCCTTGATGTCGGAACCGGACATGCCAGCGGATACGCGAACGAGGTAGTCCAGGTCGAAGTTCTTTCGGTCGACTTTGGTGTCGCGGAGAATCAGGGAAAAGATGTTGTGTCGCTGTGAAGCGGATGGGAGACCAATGGGGAACTTCTTGGGCATGCGGCGGAGAATGGCTTCGTCGATATCCTGAATGCGGTTCGTGGCGCCCAAGATGCATATCCGCTGCGGTTCGCTGCCAGTGGACGATGCAAGACCGTCCCAGTGTGTCATGAACTCTGCCTTGACCATGCCGCTTGCCTCGTGCTCGCCAGATCTCCGTTGTCCAAGTACCGCGTCAATTTCGTCGATGAAGACGATGCTGGGTTGTAGCTTTCGTGCGAGACTGAAGACGGCATTTACGAGCTTGTTCGAGTCGCCGTACCACTTCTCGGTGAGGGTGGAGATGTGCAGGTTGATGAAACAGGCGCCAGATTCGTGCGCGAGGGCCTTTGCGAGCATCGTCTTTCCGCAACCGGGTGGGCCATAGAGAAGGACGCCAGATGGCGCGCTGAGGAGCGAGGAAGAGTGCGAGTAGAGGTGTGGCAGGGTCAGGGGGTAGATGACGGATTCTTTGAGTTCTTCGATGATGTTGTCGAGGCCACCGATGTCTAGTTGCAATTAGCATCCTCCTGTGAGCTCCAAGTATCGTGGGCTTCATAACATACCCTCAAAGCTGACGGGAATCTCCTCGGGCGCAACCACCTCCATAGCAATCGTCTGCTCGTATGTGTTGAGATTCAGATCCTGTATCCGTGGCCGTCTCCTCGAGTCGTGCTCATCATCGCTGTCGTTGTCTCCACTGCGACTACTTCTCCGCTTCCCTGACAGTATGGCGCCGAGTTTCCGATTCGCGGCCGATGCTTTGGCACGTGCTTCTTCCTTCTGCTGTGCTTCCGGGTCGAGTCGTGAAAGGAGGTTGCGGATGACGAAGTAGGCGATCAATGGCTATTGCACGTGTCAGCCCATCTGCCCTTGAATGCCACGATCAACGACGCGTCGACGTACTGCTGCAGCCGCCATCAGAATGTCGGGCAGGTAGCCCGTGAGCCCACTCTTCTTATTCGACGCCATGATGCCTCTCCAATGGTGCCTCGAGCCGTGATGGATAGAGAGGCACGTGAAGAAAACGGTCGAATGCGAAGTCGGCGTGTGGAGTAGGTGACCTCGAATGCGTTGTTCACCAAAACTTAGGCCGGTCCGCCACATGCGGCCCGCAGCCTCGGTCTTGGCTGACCCGCATTTGCATGCCGCATCTCAACTCACACGAGCTCCACCTCCGCACCAAGATCACTTTTGCGCCTCACGTGGAAGCGCATTCACTCTAGCAATGGCGGCGATATACAAACCGAGTGAAGCCATTGCGCTTCTACGCCCGTCCTTCATACTGCCGCGCATTCGACCTACATCGACCCGAAAAGCTTCACTTGCGCGCGCAACTTTCACAACGAGTCGCAATGCGCAAGCTACTCACAGCTCAACGCCAAATTCTCCGCCAGGACCACAGCGTAAAAGTATCACACTGACCGGCGATACCGGGCAAGTCAGGTGGTCAGACCTTTCACCCGGCGAAAAAGCAGTGCGAACGACGCAGCAAAGCTTCAATCTGGTTATAGTATTAGTCGGCGTACTAGCTACCGTAAGCTCTACCACATTCTCTTGAACCAGAGCTATTCTCTAAAATACATCACAGGGCGGTGTAGGCTACTTCCTCTTCTCCGACGTCTTCTCCCCCTCCTCCAAAACCGCCCACTTCAACCGCGCCGTCTCCCTCATCCGCGCCGACAAACGCTGCACCTCTCTGCTCGGCCCGGGCTCCGAAATCGCAGCATTCGGCGAAGTGTCGTGGTCGCGATTAGCACGGAATCGCTACATCAGCAGCACCGAGGAGACGGATAGGTGGGGCACTGAGCATATGCGCTTCAGGTTTTATGTGGAAGGACCGCTGGGCCAGGGCGTGGTGCATGTCCATTTGATCAAGAGGCCGAGCCAGGGCGACTTTGAGTATCAGGAGTTGGCAGTGGATGTCAAGGGACATCAGCGGATTAGTCTGATTGATGAGGAGAAGAAGGGGAGTGTAGCGCCGAAGATATTTGGGGCGCGGTGGTGGTAGTCAAATAATGGAAGCCATGAAGAAGCATGGAGCGAGGTCGGATCAGTGTGGGACGGCCACTCCAGCGAGGGAACGGACAGTCATTGAGTTTCAAGGCTATGGGAAAGACGTAGAGGTCATTTTCGAAAACTTCCTCAGACCAAAACATGTCCCACTCGCCCAAGTTCATACGATGCTTACCCATCACAGTCAAAGTATGCTCGACTGTAAAGTCTCCGCCCTCTCTCGATTCCTTTTCCCATCAAACGTCTTCCGTATTTTACCAAAAGTTCTTGAAAACACGTTCTTCCCATGTGCGAGGCGCGAAAAGTCGACGCAGAAAAGCTGCATATTCTGGAATGATATGGTCATGCAGACCATGTGCGTTTCCAAAAACCAAAAGCACTTTCCACATGGAATATGTGCTGGGCCTTTCCTGTCGCTTTTTGATGGAGTATAAATACTTCGCGTTTTCTCGACATCTTTTATCGATCAAAACCATCAGATCAATAGATGTATATGTGTCCTGTCTGCACTAAAAACCCAAAGCGATCCGTGCTATGCTCCTTCTTCTGCCGACACCAAAACATCTGACAACCGAAAGGCATGTCTTTGAGTGAGACAGACCTCGGAAAAAAACACGTCAATTCATCGCTGATGTGCGATCCAGATTGTCCGCACGATGCCTTCATGATTCGACGCGGATATATTAATCCTCATTTCTTCTAGAGGGCTTCTCTTCTTTATCACATAAAAGTCTTCCTTGTCTGTCATCAAAAACGTGCTCAGATTGCTTTTATGTTTTTTCTCCTGCCTGCATAAAAACACACGAACAAGGAGTGGATGTTGCTGAGTGAGCCAGAGCCTAAAATGGCGGCCATTTGTTGTATGTGCACACCCAAAGCCATCGTAATTCTTCTCATATTTTGACGCCGGTATAAAAGCTCCTCATCACTTCCACGAAAGCACCTCTCATTCATCACACAACTATCTCGTGTTGACCGAAGACACCGCATCACAGACTGATGTTTGTTTTCCTTCCTGTAAAAAACTAACGCCGGCCACCCCATGTTGTTCAGTGAGCCCGACCTAAGAGAACACACCGGTATAGCTTTTGCAGAGCCAAAACGTCTACAGAAAGCCTGCATGGCCTGACATAGACATGTATCCTCCTCATATCCCTTTCACACAGACAACTCTCTTTCCACACACGAGTCTTAGTGAAGAAAACCTCATCAACAGCATCGACATGTTTGTCCTATCTTCTGCCTAAAAACACACCAACAAAGTCGATGTGTTGTCGAGTGGACCAGAATTCAAAACTACAGGTCAGACTTCGCATGTGCCGTGCGAAAACTTGGAGAAGGACTGCGCATGGTTCGACCCGGGTATAACACACACGACCCTTACCTATCACCAAAAAACATGTCAATACCCGATCATGTTTTCCTCCTACCTGCACAGAAACGTATCCCGAAAGAGACGATATGCTGGCAGATAAGCCAGACCTCAAGACCCACATCTATCCATCGATGGTTGCATGTGCGGTGCCAAAACTTGGAAAAATGAATTGAGCATGGTGGACCCGCGTATAGATACCTCTCACCTCTCCTGCAAAAGAATCTCTTCTTCATCACACATAAGGATGGCTCTTCAACCAAAAGGTCCGCAATCACCGTTTCATGTTTTCCACTCTCCTTGCCGAAAAACCCGAAATTTTGACGTCTATGTTCTTGCGTGCGCCGGAATCAAGACTTTTACATTCACTATAATGTGGGATCTTGCTTAGATGTGCAAATGAATGATCGAGAACGGCTATGTCGCCGCACTAAAACCCTAAGAAGTACTCATCGTGAACGATCTAATGTCGCCGGGTGGTGAGGGTATGGGAGATTCTAGCGTTCATTCCTGTACTCATGCGGAAGCTCCGGAAGTCTTGTGAGTGAGTTTTGAGATGAGAATGTGTTGGGGTTATGTTAAAAGCTCCTCAATTACCAGGCTCTCTCTTCTTTCCTCACAAACAACACTTCAGAAGCGTCTTTACTGGAAAAGCAGAAAGTTCCATGGTATGATCGTTCTGTCTTCTGCACTTCCAAAAACGCGTGGACCAACATCAATGTCTTGTCGCACCAGCTCCGCAAACACCATTTCAATGCCAATTTCGATATGAAAAACTCCTCGCATCCCGAACTCTGGTAACTTTGTACAAAGCTTCTCTTGACATTTGTGCAATCTTTAGAATGAAATTCTTTCTTTCGATAGCTTTTTACGAAAGCCACAACAATATGCTCCGTGTCTTCTGGGCCTCAGTCCGACCTGGCCGAGGATCCGCGCCTTCATGTTACCCTGCGAACGTACGAATACGAATTGCGTAACGGAAGATCTACGTTTGAACCAGCATGCAAACATCCCTCTGGCGGGTAGTAAAAGTTTTCGTGCTGTACTTGAAGTGTTTACTGAGCTCGTGTCTGCACATGCCCCCGTCTTGGACTCAATCAGCCTGAGCATAAGCACTGCCAGAATGCAATCAAACTTATCTCATGTTTGGGACAATCTCTGATGAGAATTTCATGTGACCGAAAATCACTTCCAATTCTCGGAAATGGTGGATTGACATGGTGTATACTGATGTCGTGCAGGCCATAAGTGGCGTTGGTAGTCATTGCACCACTAACCGCGCGAGTTCTTGTAGGCAGATAAATTGGGAAGGTGGCATAACGTAGCTTCTCACTGCCACCTAGAAAACGGATGCGCATTCATCTCAGAAGGACACTTTGAAGGGTAATTGGCTAGTGCTAGTCTTATGAATCTTATACTATCGTCGGCGATATCGACACGAGTGTTGCCAATATGGTACAATTCACTGATTGATTTAGTGGTTCAACGTCCGAGTTAAGCCATGATGGTACAATGCGGTACGAACGGCGTCTTTGGAGAGCATAAGTATCTACTCGCATCGCGATAGCTTCAATGTTCCTCCACTCACCAAACACTACCCACTGCAAGACCCACATTCGACAGGATGTCCATGCCGCAAGTCACTAGCATCCTGCTCTTCTTCCTCTTCGCTCTTCGTACTTGTCTCGCAGACCAAAATCCTTTCGCACCGGGCAATGGTGACTTCAATCCCTTCGAAGGCCTTCCTGATGCTAACAATTTCCGTCCCATGGGAGCTGCTCAAGCTAGGCAGCTTGGATCTGGCAACGCTCCTGATAGCGATGGCTATGGACAGGGAACGCCAGCCGTTCAGGCTGGCAACTACAACAATGCTGGCACGGGCACCGTCGCTCTGCCTACCGATATCACCAGAGCTTTACCGACGGAGGGATTGATCAGGCGAGGGCCTGCATCCGTTACAACGATTCCAGGGGCTACTGCCACTGGTAATTTCGCGAGAGAGGATACAATCTACTCAGACGCGCCTTTGGGAGAAATAGAAGTAGGAACAGCGGCTGCAGGATTTGGCGCATCTCCAACAGGATATGCCAGAGATACAGAGTACATTTGTCCAGCCGACAACGGCGTCACCTACTCCACGTCAGTTGAATTCCCAATGATCTATGACTCTCTTCACTAACACCTAACTCAGTGGCGGCAAATGTTTCGAGCTTCACTGCAACAGTGCAACCACTCTGAACGTGGGCGTAGCGGAAGAATTTCCTTCAGCATCGCTGAAGAAATGCGCAGAAGCATGTGGTCGGAATAATCAGTGCGTTGCATGCGATGTCCATGGGCAAGGAGCCAGAAACCCTGGCAAATGCCTGCTCTTCAGAGGCACGCCACCGAGCGGAAAATTGTGAGCACCTCACCACTGAATCCAGCCACGAGCTATGGCTAACATGATGCACACCAGAACCTACCATAGAGACATACACTACTGGGTCATGTTGAACGCGAATCAATGCAGTGACAATCGTGACCAATCTCCGAATGATCGCGACAGGTACCCCGACGATCGAGATTCTCGCAACTCCTATGGGATCGATCCTCAGGTTGCTAGTAGGGCGGCTGATGCTTGCGACCGACAGTACAATGGGGCAAGACCGACGCCGCTTTTTAACGAGCGTGGTAGACCGGTTTGCTGCGGACCTATCAAGAATTACGACCGGTATGGCCAAGTGACGGAGAGTTGTCCGCCATCACGCAGTGACAGGAATGATGAGAGGAATGATGACAGAAGAGACGACAGTCAGTTGGCATCGCCGGCCCAAGACGATGATTCTGGCGGGGGTGATTTTCCCGAAGATGATGATAGTGGTGGCAGCCCTAGGAGGAATTGAGAGTCTTTGGGACCTCTCTAGTAGCGTCGAAGTCTTCCGAAAAGACACTTCTTCGAGTGCTCAAAGTATGATAGCGTACAGCCGACCAAACCATTAAAAGTCACCGAGTCTCACTCGACTCGAATCTCTTCTCATCCGGTCTATCAAAGATGAATTGAGGCACACGTATGTTCTTTAGCACCAGTGGAGTATCATGGGCTCAAGAGGAATCAATTTTCTTCCATATTCTAGACCAAATCGTAAGCGATTATCAGGATCGTCCATTTAACCACAATGGGCTGGAACGCCATTTTGAGGCCCATAGCAGATCCCACTGCAGCATGAACCAGGGTCTCCCAAGTCACATGGGGTGTTAGAGGCGTTGCAACACGTAGAAGAGCCGAATTCAGTCCCGCAGCGACCAGTACAGCATTCACTGCCTTGACTGCAGGAAGCTTGCAAGCCGCTATTCTTGCATACAGGTGGAGGAGGTTGAGCCACGACACAGCTGGTCGTGGTTGCAACTACATTCACCGTCTGAAAAGTGTTAGCTTGTGGAGAGCGTTAGCGCGAGATGAAAAGTACCGTTGCAGGAGCAGTGAACGTGGCGAGCTGTGTAGCTGTGGGCTTCAGATTGAGACAACTACATCCCTCTGAGATCTTCGCAGCAGCAAAAGCGGCGAGAAGAGGAAGGACGTTGGTGCGTTTCTCGATGTCTTCCACACTCGGGTTCTCAAGGTCGTGGCTCTCTCCTCGCTTTTGCAAACCGCCGCCGCATACCGAGCTAGTGACTGTTACAGTAGTCGTGGAAGTTGTGCTTGTTCTGCCTTTATTAGCTGCCGCTAGTTATGGGAATCGTGGGTTGTTCTTACATGGCAATGGGTGTGATTGTCGTGGTCGATGTTTTCGTTCCCGGAACTTTTAGGTACGACCGGCAGAAAGTGCTTGCTGGTGGGCCAATCTTCTTCAGTACGCCGAGGCATCCTGTCAATTTGGAGCAGTCGATGGCACGATTGTCGAGATTTGCAACGGCAGTGGGTTCAGGCCACGCAGTGACAATTCCGCTGACTGTAGCAGCGAGCAAAAGTTTGAACGCAACCATGTTTCTCGACTTCGATTGAGACACAAAAGAGATGTGATGAAGATATTCTTCACGCCCAGAAGCTCCCTCATGCTTTATACATCCAGTTTTTGCCACGCTGCTGTTGTGATATTCACCGCCATGGTGAGGCTGAAGATTTGCATTTTCACCACCTCTTTCTCAGCTGTCTTCTACACGTATGGGAAGACAGGACTTGCGCCACATCACAAACGAGTACAGATAAGGAGACCTGCCCCGCTTCGAGACTCGTTAGCTCCGGCAATCACACTCGTGTGGCATCTAGATGTTGGCTAGCGGGAGGAGTGAGGATCTACATCCGTGCGCGAGGCCGTAGCGCAAAGCGAATTGAGTCCAGCCTCGCGAAACAGACCAGAAAAGCATACCAGGAATATCTGCCTGCTGAATTCCATGTAGAACCATCCGGGATGGGGCACAGCGCCAGCGCTAAACGCACGAATGTATCGCTGCTGGTGATGTAGAATTGCTCATTGGACCGAGATATTTAGAAGTGCGCGGAGACGCCGATCAACAAATTCGATGCTCATGTTGGTCAAGTCGTGCTGTAAGGATCCAGATCGACAGGTCCTAGGACATGCTGCACGGGCTTCCACACATGATCGGTAATCTGCATCCTCGTAACTTCTTTGCATCTAGCCTTGATGTTCTATCTCCAAAGACATTTCACCGGCAAATCAGAGAAGGCCCGGGTCAGGGATGGTGTTGATTCTCACGCGTGTTTTCTTTGCACACTTGGTTGACCAACCAGAAATTGAGTTTTGGGGTTTGTAGGCAAGACTCACTGATTCTCATCACTAACAATAATACACATTGAAGTCCTTCTTTCACACCGATTATAGGTTGAATAGTTCCCTCTGGTTTTTCGAATCTTTCCTTATGCAAAATCATACATAGCGTGTGCAAAGTCATCGCTGATGCTGTCCTTCCTCGTATAACAAGTGACGACATTCATTTCACGAGTCGCAATTCAAAGTCATCCCACACTTGGATATTATGAATCTTATTGCGCTCTAAGACCAGAATTCTGTTTCCACTTTGGACTAGGCTCCTGAAGTAGTCGAAGAAGAACAATTACTTCTTACATTCTGGTTTATTGTCTGGGATTCTGTTTCTTATGGTACTGTCAAGAGGGTACCAATTCACAACACTGTGAATCTTTGCTCTGAGTTGATTGTATAGTTTTATCACAATCTCATCAAATCTTCTTTGCGCCTCGCTGTTATTATATAGGACAGAACTGATTTTATCAGATGGAAATTATGCATTAAACTACCACTCTTGAAGTCGCTCAAACACCCGCTAAGAACAGATCTCAAAACAATGAAATACTAACTTTTCCTCCCCATCTTCACCTCACGCATCCTTCTCCCCACTCCTCGCCCCGGGATGCGCTCCCTGCGCAGCAACATCCGCGACCCCATTGCCCGCCTTCTCTGCCGCGCCCTTCGCCTTCGCACCCTTCTTCGTCTTATGAAATCTCCCTGTCAGATTCTTCAAATTCGCGACCCTAAAGAGCCAATACGTGAGCACCGCCAAGAAAATATTAAACGCGATGAACGCGAACAAAATGCCAAAATTGCGCCACCTCTGGCTGTAAGAAATCGACACGGATGCGAGGAATTGGTCGCTGTTGGAGAGGCTGCAGTACTCGCAGTTGGCCGTCGCACTGGGGTTTTGGATAGTGCCGCCGGCGAGAGACGCGTAGGATTGGAGGTATGCGCCGCACGTTTGGCCCGAGGGCGGGTCGAAGACGGAGATCTCGCGGTCGGAGCAGAACACTGGGCGCCCGGCTAGCATGGTAGCTACGAGGCCGCCGATCCAGTAGGTGAACGGGCTGACGCGGTACATGAAGAGCCAGAAGCCGGGGAGTTGGGAAGGAGGCTGGAGTACGCCATTGAACAGGATACTCATGAGGGTGAGCAGGGAGACGAGGCCGGCAGCGGTTTCGGCGTTGGGCAGCGCAGCGATGGTCATGGATGCAAATGTGGAGGTGTAGATAAGGAGTTGCATCATGAAGAGGAGGACGAGACCTTGTCGTTCGCTGGACTGGGAGGCGCCGACGACGGGGTAGTAGAAGCAGGCGAAGGAGAGGATGCCGGCGAAGATGCCGTAGGGGATTTCGACGACGATGTTGGCGACCATGAATGCCACCCAAGAATAGGCTTTGCTGGGGCGCTCGCGGGATTCATAGAGGGAGCGCTGGGTGATGAACAAGGGCTGGATCTGCTGTACCAGAGAGGAGAAAATGGTCGTCATCATGAATACGGAGAAGATGATGGTTTGCATGCCTGCTTGCGTCGAGTCGGCGGAGAAGAAGGAGAAGCCGATGAAGAGCGAGGCAATAGCACAGAGACCAAATTTGGCGAGTACGTAGCTGGGCATTCTCCAGTATTGCTGGAAGACACGGTATGTGCATTCCCAAATCTGTGTCGTAATTGGCATGGCGTATGCACCGCCACCAGTTTCCTTTGCGATATCGAGGTTATCGTTCTGACGCTCCTTGTGCAAGTCTTCGATTTGTTTCTGGACTTCTTGCGCGTTGTCGCTGTTCTTCCAGACATCAAACCACTCTTCGCCCTGATCGTTCTTGCCGTTGTTGACAATCTCGAGCATGTACTCAGCCGGGTTCTCATCCTTGCCGCACTTCCGTGCTCCTTGGTTCTCAAAGTAGTGCAGAAGAGTCTCGGAGTTCTCGCCGATCTCTCCGAAGTAGACCGTCTTACCTCCCTTCGCGAGGAAGAGAAGTCTGTCGAACTCCTGGAAGAGGATCGCGCTGGGCTGATGGATAGTGCACAGAATAGCTTGACCGGCAGATGAGAGCTTCTTGAGGAAAGAGATGATAGACCACGAACTCTGGCTTGTCCAGACCCGAGGTCGGCTCGTCAAGGAAGAGGAGCAACTTTGGCTTCGCAGCCAGTTCGACACCGATGGTCAAGAGCTTACGTTGCTCGACGTTCAGACCCTCGCCTGGTACACCCAACAACCGCGTTAGCGAAGTCAGCCATGTTCAACATCTTAATGACCTCCTCGACATAGTCGTATTTCTCCTTCTTGCTGACGGACTTTGGCTGGCGAAGCATAGCGGAGAACTGGAGAGACTCGCGCACGGTGGCAGTTTCAAGATGCAGATCCCTACAATGGTCAGTACATAATCAAGTATCGGTAGCGTGATAACTTACTGTTGCTGAACGTATCCAGTGGACCTCTGGAAAGCAGGATCCAGAGGCTTTCCGTTCACCAACATGTCGCCCGTGATGACACCCATAGTAGTTCGCTGCGCAAGCGCATCCAATAGCGTAGTTTTACCAGCACCGGATACACCCATGAGTGCAGTCATGGAGCCAGGTTTCACAAATCCGGATACATGGTCCAACAATCGACGTGGCTCACCCTTGATCTCGATATCGTAGACCACATCGCGCCAGGTAAAGATACCCTTCTGTTCCTCGATAGCACTGACGTCACCAGCACCGGCTGAGTCATCTGGCTTAGCAGCGCCCTTTGATTCCTCATCGGACTTATTCTTGCCATCCTTTTGTAGATAGGCTGGAACGTGGCCGCGCTGGAAGACGAGCTGCTCAGCGGTGTCGGTGGTGGACGAGTTGAGTTCGACGGCAATGAAGTAGGTGACCATGAAGAAAATGAGGAACCCCCAAAGAATACCGAAGTTCCTCCATACATGAGACCAAGAGTATCGGTACGATACCTGGATGAAGTCGTCACCAGAGACAAAAGTCTGGCCAGCGACTGCACCTTGAGTATTGCAGATGAATGAGTTGCCGTTGAGATTGTAGCCGGGACCCATGGGAATGAACTGATCGCAGGGGAAGTTGACTCCGTGGAACTCATTCGCAAGCAAAATCTCAAAAGCGTAGAAGATGGGATTGATCCAGCGGATCCAGCCAAAGTAGACAGGCATTTCAGGAATTCGAATGACGAAGCCGGTATAGATGACGAGAACGAGGACGAGGACACCAGCTCCAGCCATGGCTTGCGATGCTGTCTTTGTGACAGCTGCCGTTGTTCGGAAGATGGCTGCCATGACGAAGGTGGCCATGTAGGTTACGATGAAAAACAAGAAGAATTGACCGGCTGTGTATCGCAACTGTGCAAGGAAGTATAATATGATGTTAAAGACCACAGCTTGCACAAACTTGACAGGTATGTCGGCAACAATACCCGCTATAGCTTCCGTAGCTGGATGATAGAATGCGTATGAGTTGTGCTTTTCGACGACAGGCCTTTGCGCGTATAATCCGCTGATTTCACCGATAGAGGTGAGAGCATTGAACAGAATGGCCAAGAACAAAACGGCGCCTCGACCTTGGAACGATGATGATCCTTGGGAGTGGCCGTAGTAGATGGAACCGACGATAAGAGCTATGATGATATTGAGACCGGCTTGAGTAGCAGTAGATGCGACATCACCCCAGATACGCTGATATGCGCGACGGGTATTAAGCTTGACCTGCATTGGAACGCTGACGAGGTATGGGGACTTGGGCCGAGCGTGCTTAGCCTGAATGAACTGTTTCTTGCTGCGCAACTCTTGAAGATTTGAGTGTTCGTTGACAGGATACTCCTCCTCAAAGTCTTTGATCTCCTCGAGTAGGTTCTTGTACTCTTGTGAGTCGCGCCAGTACTTTTCGAAATCCTCTGGAGTGCGTGGGACCTTGTTCTCCATACCCTTCTTCGCCTGGCGCTCAGAGGGGTTGGTGACGGCTGTAAGGAAGTCTCCGGTCGTTTGCCTGGGCGGGCAGTACCAGCCTTGACGCTCGAAGTAGCCTTTCGCCATATCTGCGGGACCAAAGTAGATCTGACGACCTTCATAGAGAACCGCGGCTTTGTCGAACTGGTCGTACACGCTCTGACTAGCTTGGTAGATGGCAACGGCTGCGGCGCCTTCGGTAAAATCCGATCCCATCCTGAGCGACTTGACGAACTTTAACGCAGTCGCAGAGTCCAGACCACGAGTAGAGTTGTCCCATGATGCGAACGGCGCACCAGCTAACATCATCTCGGCGACCGAGACACGCTTGCGCTCACCACCAGATACACCGCGTACGAAATCGTCTCCAACCTTGGTATTATAAGTATGACTCAAGCCGAGAACGGCCATGACCACACTGGTGAGGAACTTGGAGAACTCCTCGCGCGATTGGCCTGCAGGTCGGTTGGAAGGACACCGGAGGGCAGCAGCGTGCTCGAGTGTTTGGCCGACGGTCAAATGGGGAAAGTGCTTGTCGACTTCCTGGTTGTAGACTGTTTCACCTTTGAACTCCTTCCTCATTTTGCCTTGCAAAATGCCGTTGTAGTGGATGGTCGAGTCGTCAGTGTCTAAGCCATGGAGCTCGCCAGTCAATGACTTCAGGAGTGTACTGCAGCCACTTCCGGGACGTCCGAGAACCACGCAGAGCTCGCCAGCCTTGATGATACCGTCAAAGTTGTGAAGAATCTGTTTGCGCTCTGATCTGCCAAAGTACTCTCCAGCACGGAAGGGAGCCATAGGAATGTCACCGACAGTTTTTTGGAGTTGAAGTGCTCGTCCAGATCCAAAGACGTTGAGGTTCTTGTACACAACGGACAGTTTCTTCATCTCAATGCCTTCGCCTTCAAGGTTGTGACCTGTGAAAATTTTGTTAGGAGACGTACGATAGCGACAAGATCGTATACTTACGGAACATCTTCAGGAATCTTGCGAGGTCGAAGGAGTCACTAGACGGGTCTACAGTCGCATCATTCGGGTCTGCGATGCTCATCTGCCGTCCCATCTTCTGTGACTGAGTTGTGAAAATGCGCTGAAGTTCTCGCCGGCCTTCATCGTCAATCTCGGCGCGTGTGTTCTTGCGTGAGAGCATGGCGCCATGTAGTTCGTCACTTGACGACCGAGAATCTTTCTGCTTTGGCTTGGCTTCGCCATTGGAACCATGTCGGGTGGATGAATCGCTAGAACTGGAGGACTCAACTTTCTCAAGAGGTACTTCTTGTTCGCGCTCTTGCGCATTGGTGCCAGAGAACAAGCCAGCGCCGCGGACATCATGACTCCCGGAAGCTTGCTGTACACTGTAATCTGCTGTTGAAGGAAAGAGACCATATGACGAGCGCTTGACCACGGGCGCCGGGGTTTCCTGATGCTCATCGTGTTCGCAGTGGAGGCCTATACGATTGTCGTCCGCTCGTGTTTCGTGACCGTCTGGGTAATATGTCTCCCGCCCGGAAGATGTTCGATAAATCCCGTCTGAGTGAGCATGGTTGGATATCGTAGTGGTTGTGTGTGTTTGTTGTCCAGATGTGCTCGATTGTGTGAATTCATTCGCTGTGTTTGAGGAAGTCTGGTGGCTTTGTGACGTGCTCTCAGCGGTGTGGTCTGTGTTGGAGAGTAGCCCAGCCATTGCAGCTGTAGGAGCGTCCTGAAAGTGAACCACAACGTCTGTAACAACAAAGCCTTAGAGCACCCATTGTTTTAGCAATATCTATACACCATGACCCTGAGGCATGGTTGAACGTCATCATACGCTTCCGGATCGCGGATCATCTCGGCGTCCGCTTTTAGCTCACGACCGAATGCGGACGAAATCGAAGATGAAGATCTCCCATGCGAATCACACAGCGTAATTGAGGCTTAGCCTTGCCAGGCGCACGCTTATTCGCACTTGTGTCGATCCAGACTCAGCGCTAGACGCGTGGTTTCGTCGGCCAAGCACAACAACAGAAAGAAACACAATTATGACGCAACTATCACCCGGATGGTCCGCGACAAACTCCACGTTTGAGGGACCAGAAACAAGCTGCCAACGCGCTGCTAGTGTGGAACTCAACACATCAGGCCTGAACAGCATCGAAATTACAAGTCAAGGCAAGCCGATGAGTTGGCGATGTTTGTACACCAAGGAGGTTGTGAATTGTGCCGTGGTTGACAGCCTATCACAACCCTGGGGATTGCCAGTGCAGCTCATCACGGGTGCGGTTACTTCGTCCCGGCGACATGGTACAAGCTTCTGACAGGGCCGACCATCTGCCATGGACGAACTGCACAAACTGGACGAACTTCGGCCACGACTCGTGCGAAGCTTAAAACGTGCATCGGACATCCACAACTTCCAAGGTTCCGAGTAGCCGAAGTCTGACAGCCGGACGAGTGTAGGAGGGGCGCAGCCTGTATCTCAACAGAAATCGAGCAAGACCGCATCGGATGTTGAGAAGTAGCCGGTGAGCGTTGAGAGCAATTCATATCGATTCAGGAAACACACACTTGTGGATGAAGCTATTGACTTTATGATTCGAGTGCAAGCTAAACCTGCGCCAAGTCCATATGGCTTTCAGCAGGTTGGTATATATACTAGGCTGATCGTGAGATTCGTTTTGCGATCCCACCCGCCGTGACACTCATCGACTTTGCAGCTCGGCTGTGATCCGAGGCGGTGTGGGTCACTGCCGAGAGGCTTTCACTGCAGCCACATCTCATCCCGCCAAGTGCCGTGAAGGTGCACCGGGCGCGATGCATCGCGGTCAGCTTGCGCATATGGCGCAAATACTGCTGCATTTCCGACTACACTTGCACACAACCAGGTTTTGGCCACGACTTCAGCTAGGCTATGCCAGGCATTCTTCCTTGCTACTTTCTTGCTTGTAGACATTCTGTTCTCATCGCAGCTTCAAACCCTCTAGACTCTTCTCCATGATTGGGATGTGCTCTGACAAACGGTTGGGGTCGCGCATGATGGCGAGGACATCCTCCTTCCTCCCAGTGGCCGCAAGCTTCTTTCGCACTTCTTCATAGGGTGCTTCTCGGGCAGTGTATTCTCTTATGACTTCGTCTGACCCAAATTCGACGTACACTCGGGTGTCGCGAATCCTGAACACCACATCGTCCAGTCGCATGAAGAAGCGCACCAGCAGAAGCAGTCGCGCCGGCATGACCCGGATCTTGCATGACAGCATCGCAATGCCGTTGTCCGCAAGCTCATCCTCGTATAACATGACCTCATCGAAGAAGTGTATGGGGTCTGGTCGCTTGAGCAGTTCGAGTGGTATTGGGCTTTCTGAGGGCTGGAAGGGTGGTGTTTCGGGCGTCGTGCCTTTGTAGTCTGTGCTGTACGACCAGTCGAATGGCTTGACAACCTCTTTGATGTCCTCAAACTGTTTCTGTCTGTTCTGCTGCCACTCTTTCGAATATGAGACCTTGAACATCTTGTCGCCAGTCTTGTCCACGCGGTCCAGCGCGTCAAAGGCATTGAACTCGATGAACCAGCCACTCGAATGCTCGATGCGTGTGAGGTTGTCGCCGAATATCATCTCGGGCGGGGTGATGCCGAGCTTCTTCGTCATGTCCTCTATGGGGCCAGCTTTGAGAATCGGAAGCTTGCGCGTGGTGATCTTGAAGCTGCCTTTGGTGATGGAGGTGTCGGCGTGCCCTGGGGCAACCGTATCGGCCGGCGCGCCATTCAGAGTCGCCATTGCGTTCGAATCCTGGAGGGAGAACTTGCAGGATTGTACTTTTCTGACAGAAACTATTTCTTAAATTCCATCATCAGAGAGCTCTCGCGGTGGTTAGCGCGGGGCGGGTGCACGTGTGGGGTGGGATCGGCAACATGGAACGCCGATGTCTTGGGGTCGTTTTGCTATAGCAACCGCGCTTGTTTGCATCAACCCTGGCCCGAACCGAACTGCCTTTACCACCTCCCACCTGGTCAGACAGACGCAGGACATCGACAGGTTTCGACTTTAGCCTCTGTTTGCAGCTTTTCGCTTTCACCCAATTCTTTCGTTAATCGCTTGAGCATTTAGCACAATGGAGGTCGCCAACCTTGAAGCTGCCTTCGAACGCATCACCGTCACCGACGAGAACGATGAGCAAATCACTTCTTCCACCACCTCTTACCACAAGACGAAGGTGAACAGTACTCAGGCGTGCGACTGCATCAGTAGCTAATGCCGCAAAGGCTTCACTAGCAAACGCTGCATCATTATCCGGCCTATCATCCTCGAACACAGCAGCAAACCGCATGAAGCTGCCCCATCAAATACCATTACAGAAGCTTGCAACCCAGAATGCCAGCAAGAATGCTGCGAACATCTCCAAAGTTACCATCACGTCGTCTACCACCCGCCCGTCGGAGGTCAACCCATCGCATCGCCGCACCCTTACCGAGACGGCCCTCTACGTCAACCCGTCAACACCGAAAGCATGGCACCTCGGCATGTTTGATATCGGCAAGCCTCTCGGAAAGGGCAAATTTGGTCGTGTATATCTTGCCAAAGAGAAGTCATCAGGCTTCGTCTGCGCACTCAAAGTGCTCCACAAATCCGAACTTCAACAAGGCAAGGTCGAGAAGCAGGTGCGACGAGAAATCGAGATCCAATCACACTTGGCCCATCCCAACATTCTTCGCCTCTTCGGGCACTTCCACGATGCAAAGCGTGTCTTCTTGATCCTCGAGTTTGCCGGCCAAGGAGAACTCTACAAGCACCTCCGCAAGGAGCAACGCTTCCCCGAATGGAAGGCCGCACAATACATCGCCCAGATGGCCGCAGCGCTCAAGTATCTCCACAAGAAGCACGTCATGCACCGAGACATCAAGCCCGAGAACATCCTCGTCGGCGTCCACGGCGAAATCAAAATCAGCGATTTTGGTTGGTCTGTTCACGCACCCAACAACCGTCGCAACACCATGTGCGGAACTCTCGACTACTTGCCCCCGGAGATGCTGAGGGGCGGCGGCAAGGACAACTTCTACAGCGAGAAGGTCGACCTGTGGAGTTTGGGCGTGTTGACATATGAGTTTTTGGTTGGCGAGGCACCTTTCGAGGACACGCAAGTGATGACTCAAAGAAAGATTGCACGGGGAGAGTACACAGTGCCTAGCTTTATTAGCTCAGAGGCAAAGGATCTTATCAAGAGGGTAAGTTCTATCATCATACTGCACTGGAAACTCATGCTAACAAATAACAGTTACTAGTCCTTGACCCCGAGAAGCGAATTGCGCTCGAGGAAGTAGAGCGACACCCGTGGATCGTCAAGCACTGCAAAGGCAGCCGTGTCCAAGTCGGCAGCCGCTCGACCTCAGACGACGACGACGAGACCTACTAGTTCTGCATTTTGATGACGACGTTTGGGCATGGATCTATGCAATGTACGACGGCGAACAAGGCGTTTTAAACGGTGTGATGACCACACTTGGAGTTATTTGGGGTACTAGGCACGCACATCTCGCGGCGATTTGGCATACGACATGCGAGCATTCTTGATTATGAAGCAAATGCAACGAATTTCAACTTCACCCCAAACGTTTGCGCAAGAGTGAAGAATGATATATCCCAAACGCCATCGCTATGCATCGTCGTGAACCGTCATGTACACGTCCGTCTTCGACACGCTATCATACAAGACTTGCATACCCGCAGGCTCACCGATATATTTCGTCAAACGGTCTTGTGTCTCGGAAGCATCTAGAAAAACGTCAGCATCTCTCTCATCGTCATGCACACATCACATCTTACCCTTCCCACACCTGATTCACAATCTCGCCCGCATGCTTCTCATCCCTAACACCCGGCCTTGCCATCATACTCAGCGTCGCTCGCCGGCGCACACACCGCTGCAATTGCTCCGTCACACTCCACTGATTCTTCGTAAAGAACTCTCTTGAAAACCTGCACTCGCCACTGAGCGTGGACGCCCGAATCTCCAAACAAGCCTGATGCCTTAGATTATCATTTTCGACCTTGAACTTCAAATGGTCCCACGCATGCACCATCTCATGCGCCATGGTATCTTCCTGATGCCCTCTATTCCGAAACTTATTCGCGCACAGCAAGATGCCGTGGTCGAGACTGAATCCGCCTGATTGCGAGTTGGTGCACATGCGACACAGGATATTGTCCTTGTTCAAGTCGCCGCCGAGCTTTTCCACCTCGTCTTTGAGGAAGCGCACGATGGGCGAGTATTGCAGCAGGTAGTCGCGGTTCGAGTCGCAGCGTTGACATATCGTGTCGGCTTTTAAGGCGTCCATTTCGGTGAAGTATTTCTCCTCGAGAGGGACGTCGCGCGAGCCCGTCATGCGGCTGAGGAGGATGGAGAAGGTGCTGGACCAGTTGTAGTATACTGGGTCGATCTTTTTGGGCTGGTCGGTTGTCATGGCGGCGAGGGAGGCGCCGTCGGGTGCGGTTTCGGGGTTACTTGGAGAGGACGCCATGGTGCTGGATGTCGAGATGGTACTTCGTAGGGCGCGTTAATGTTCCGCGTCGCAAAAAGTTGGGTTTGGTACGAATGTCGAATGCGGGAGCCAATCGGAGGGCGGGCACTAGCGGTGTACTAACTGGCAGCTCTTTATTGCGGAGGGGAGCGAGCTCGGAATCTTGGGCTTGAAAGAGTCATGCATTGCGTTATATAAAGAACATAAGAAACATCTGGATCTTGAGCAATTGCGCTCGCTCGCTCCTTCTTTACCTCTTGTGTAGAAGGCAATCCCGCGACCATGGCCGTTCACATGCGAAAGCTGCCCGGCCAGCTCACCGTCGTCATCAAACTCGGTAACTACTCAAATGTACATGGCACAGCTGGCAGAACGAGAACAACTTACCAACACGCGCAGGAACCTCTTCCATAGTCGACGAAAAAACGCACCAGCCCCTCCTCTCCATCCTCTCCCTCATCGTCGAAACAGCATGTAAACTGCACGCTGATGGCCACCGCGTCGTCATTGTCTCGTCGGGCGCCATTGGCGTGGGTCTCAGGCGCATGAACCTACCGCGACGACCGAAACATCTTCCCCAGGTACAGGCGCTTGCTGCGATTGGGCAATGTCGGCTGATGTCGCTGTGGGATCAATTGTTTGGCAACTTGAACCAGCCGATTGCGCAGGTGCTGCTTACAAGAAATGACATTGCAGACCGGACGCAGTATCAAAATGCACAGAACACGTTTATTGAACTGCTAAGCATGGGCGTTATACCGATTGTGAATGAGAACGACACATTGGCGGTCACGGAGATCAAATTCGGAGACAACGATACGCTGAGTGCAATCACGGCGGGAATGGTACAGGCCGACTATCTGTTCTTAATGACGGACGTCGATTGCCTGTATGACAAGAACCCTAGAAGCAATCCAGATGCAAAGGCTATCGAGGTCGTGGAAGACATCGCTGAGTTGGCAGCGGACGTGAGCTCAGCAGGGAGCTCCTTGGGGACAGGCGGCATGAGCACCAAGATCGTGGCAGCGCGATTGGCGACGAGTGCAGGTGTAACAACCATCATAACAAAGAGCAGCAAGCCAGGGAATATCGGCGCCATCATGAGACACGCAGAGCAAGAGCGGAAGAAAGGCATGTCCAGTCGCAATTCCACCAGCAACCTTCAAGACCACAACGACGGCGTCCCACTCGCCCAAACCGCAGCTCTAAACCTCCACAACTCAAACCACGACCTCTCTGCATCGACCAGCTCCCTCGACCAAGCCCCCCTCTCCCCATCACTACATGCAGACTCCGACACCGTCCCCCTCCACACCCGCTTCCTCCCAATCTCCCACCCCATCCGCGACCGCTACTTCTGGATCCTACACGGCCTCGCGCCCCACGGCACAATCTACATCGACCAAGGCGCGTGGAACGCACTGAACGACAAAGCCGGCCTCCTCCCCGTCGGCATCGTCGACGTCGACGGCCACTTCGCCCAACAAGAAGCCGTGCGCATCGTCGTCGTCAAGCGGCTCCCCAAATCTTCACCAAAAAGCCTTCCCACCACACCCGCCGCGTCTTCCCACGGCGTGCACGCCCCGATTCCCATGCGTCACCCATTGCCGCACTCGTCATCTTCATATGCCCGCGAAGAAGGGCCCAGGCCGTATGAATTGCACAACCCGGCGCCGATGGAGATTGGCCGCGCGGTGGTGAATTACTCGGCGGTCGAGATCAGGAGGATCATGGGGCTGCATTCAACGCAGATTCGCGAGGCGCTGGGGTATGCGGATAGCGAGTATGTGGCGTTGAGGGAGAATATTGCGTTTACGGGGAGGGAGAGGAGTAGGCCCAGTACGCCGGATCATCGGTTGGAAAATTAGATTGCGCTTGACTTTGCATAGCTGCATGGGTGGGTTGGGTTTCCATCTTGTCGATCTTCGTGGGCGGTATCATGGCAATCGAAGAATTGAGATGGGAACTTCCTCAAGGTATATTTTCTACGCCATTGTCCCATCATGGGGCCGATAGAAAAAGTGTCAGTGCGATGATGCGGTGATCATTGAACTCTTGGAATGAGACGAATATGTCAGTTGCGCAGAGTTTGTCAGCTCATATTTATTCTACGCGAATTGAAAATCTCACGCGCGGTGACGA